TTAATTATAGTTCCTGTGTGATGAGTTTGTGATTGATCAACATTATTTGAATAAAATTTGATCGTACAATTATTATCTGTTAACGGGATTATATTTTTTGTAAGCGTCATTAATCCACTAAGAAAAGTTATATAGCTACAACACTTATGTCTTTGGTGTCTTGAATAACATATTCATGCACTAAGTTTCGACCTTATAAAATGTTTTTGCTTGCTGGAACAAAATATTATATACGAAGTGAAATCTGCGTCATTTCGATGAAGTGTTTCGAAAGGTCAAGTCGTGTTAGTGAGCATTTCATTAATTAAACCTGCAAAAGAAGAAAGTGAGTCATCAGTTTGCATCATTACATACACAATGCAGCAAGCTGAACGTAGATCTGATAGTAGTGGACGAACATTATTAATTACAATTCTTCGTTGCGCTGCCAGGGCTGAAATGATAATTTTGCTAGGGCTATTGCCCCTGTGAATATACTTTTAATTCTTAAAGAGCAAATATCTGGAAATCCCACCCGAAATCGGAACCCGTATCTCCCGTTTGCTGGTTCGGTCAAAACATGCATGCTTAAGTTGTTCACTCTTCATCGGTGCTGCACACATCTAGGCACGCGATGAATTTTGGTATTGACATAAATACGACTTGCTCCCCACAAAGCGCATGGGTACAGCACGGGCCATCAACGCATGCACATGCAAACATGCGCACAGTGTCATGCATATGTGTCCAGAGTGCTCAAACAACCACAAGGGAAATGAGCTTTGCTTTTGCTAATGGACAGTGTCAATAGTACAATCTGCAACATGCGTAACAGTACAATGTGCACACTACGCATGTTTCTGGCGTCTCTTTATACCATTAATATTAATATATCAGTTGCTCTCGTGCATAGGTCTGCCGTGCTGTCTTTTATTAAAAAAAATCCATACAATTTGCTTTAAAATGCAATGCTTTGACATGCAATGCTTCAATGTACAGTAAAACCTCTATATTTTGTATTACATGAAGTACGTGTAACATCACAATAGCGTTGCGTCATTATGTAATATATATCCCCAAGGTTGGCAAGTAAATACAAATTTAAAACTGTATACACAAACTTAATGACGAAAAACTCGTACATAAACATCGAAATTCATTAAAAAAACTAACTCACTATGGTAAGAAATAACTGTAATACTTCTATATTGTGTTTTTTCACTTTTAAACGAGTTAATTTTGCGAAAATTCCGAGGAAAATTAATCAAATTCGTAACTCAATTTGATCAAAACTATGCGGGATGATGGCTCCCGGCGTTACGTCACAAAATGAAGCTCTCTGATTCGCTGGGAAATTTCAGCCAGCCAATCGGAGAGTTTTTTTGAAATTTTAAACATTTTCAGCAAATCAGAGAGCTTTATTTTGTGACGTAACGCCGGGAGCAGTCATCCCGCATAGTTTTGACCAAATTGAGCCATTTTCCTCGGAATTTTCGCAAAATTAACTCGTTTAAAAGTGATAAGAGAAGAAAAAAACACAATGTAGAAGAAGAATTACAGTTATTTCTTACCATAGTGAGTTAGTTTTTTTAATGAATTTCGATGTTTATTTACGAGTTTTTCGTCATTAAGTTTGTGTATACAGTTTAAAATTTGTATTTACTTGCCAACCTTGGGGATATATATTACACGCGTAAAAATCATCATGTTGATGCAAGTTGTTCACAACAGGAGCGAACAATGTTGTGCTGCACCCCGTGAACAATATTGTTAACAATGTTGTTGAACCATCAACGTTGTTGCAAACTTGTTGACAATCATGTTATCAACTTGCAACAATATTGATGATTAAACAACTCGGAACAACTTGTTAACAATATTGTTCACGGGGTGCAGCACAACATTGTTCGCGACTGTTTGAACAACCTGATCAATTTTTACCCGTGTACATAATGACACAACGCTATTGTGATGTTGCACGTACTTCATGTAATACAAATTATAGAGGTTTTACTGTACATTGAAGCATTGCATGTCAAAGCATTGTATTTTAAAGCAAATTGTATGGATTTTTTTTAAAATAAAAGACCTTTTCGGGAGACCTATGGCAAAAGTTCAAATGTTTTAAATACTGTTTTCTCAAAACAGAACATTTCGTGCTTTCAGATAAGACGGCCAAGACCAATATGATCAGTTAATGTGTTTTTTATGCATAATGCTTTTTTATGCATAGTGCTTCAAGCAGTTGAATATATAGAGCTCAGCGGAAACATATAAATTATAGCATCTGACCAATGAGAATTTCGCGTCACGATTTGAGACGCAGATATTCAAATTTATTAGTCATCGATGCAGGCTCTCAATTCAGCTTGAGAGCCTGTTCGCAAACTACTATTTTGCAGTTTTGTACAACGTTACGGAATATGAAAAAATTTAAGCCTATCGTGTTGTCATGACAACACTTGAGCTCGAGCCTGCGTTCAGTTTGGCCATTTTTGTATACTTCATGTTAATTTGACGTTTGGAAAATATTGGCGAGGGGTTACTGCATGCATGTATTTCTAGTTTAAATTTCTAAACCACTACGCCACAAGGAACTCACTCAGCTAACTCGTAAATAATGCACTTTAAATTAAAGGAGTAAGATGTGAAAATGTATTAAATCTTGATGCGAATACGCTCAGTGAATACGCAGATATTTTGCAAATCCTTTAGCTAGAGTAAACACTGAGCAAGCGTCTTATTATTAATAATTTGGCAGGTTATCACGCGTTACTATATTTTTCAAGAAAGATTACTATGATATATATTTTAATATAAACTCGATGGTAACGCGTGGTAACGTGTTGAACTAGCAATAAAAAGCTAAATAAAAGCATGTAACTCATGGTACCGTGTGCGGTAATGCGTGTGGGTATAACGGTAATATCCGAAAGGGTGGACGGCGAGAGGTAGTTTACGAGATGATTCTAAAATTGAAATAAGGGCATGCGTTAGTATTAGGGTTAGTGTGGTGGTTAGGGTTTGGTGTGGAATGAGGTTTAGGGTTAGTACTGTTGCAAGTGGTTGGTTGTTGATTCTTTTACGTTTTAATGATCTTAAAAACTTGCGGCAATCGTGAAAACCTGCTTCTAGAGTCTAGTCCATCCCCTTTAGCCACGACCGAGTGTGGTAACGCGTTGATTTACCAATAAAAAAGTAAGTAAATGCAGTTCATGATATCGCTCATGGTCAGAGCGGGTGGCAACGCGTGTTGTAAAGCGTGTACGGGGATAGTACGTGCCTTGTGTGGTGGTTCGCTAATAAGTTTTATTTCATTGTAATAGTTATTATATACACATCATGCAATATGTAAAGATATTGCCCATGTAGGGAAACTTCATTTGGTATTGAAATAATATTTATTTCTGAAGATATATTAATAAAATCTTACAATCTAAACTTTAGAGTTTGCATTAGCAACTCTTGTACACGCAAGCTTATTTGCTGACGTCAGTTCTCAAATATCACGTTTCTATATTCTTTACACTATTCCTCCCTTAAATTTGAAGGAAAACTAAGCCGCGCCTGCGCACGGGCGAGGCATTGTATAGTTGTATTATTTAATTATTTCCTAGGCAAATGCAAATAAAATAACGATATGCATAGCAAATGGACCAATGGTTAGATTATCAATTACTTTAGTATTGTGGAAAACTTGTTCAGCCATTATACTGGTTTGAGTAGACTTTGCATCATCGGATATAGTTCGAAAAAGGGCTTTAATATGTTGAAACTCTTCGCAAGTATAGAGGTGTTGATCGATTACAGATTCTGTGTGATATGAACGAGATAGCTTTAATGATACAAGATAGCTTTGATGCGGTACATGAGATTTGAGATTAATAATGTTTCTCCTAACCTATTTAATGACGGATAACAAGTTTGTTTCTTTTGACGTAAAATCCCTATTTACTAATATCCCACTCCCCAAAACTGTCAACATAATATTAAAACGCATCTATGATGATAAGCTAATATCGATGAAATTAACTAAACGAGCACTAAAGAAACTAATACTAGACTCATGAAACTCAGAAATTATCTCAGAAATTATCACTGGAAGAAATTTTGAAAATCCATAGAAGGTCATAAAATGGAAATTGTATGGACCTTTATTGGAAATAGAATGGTTTTTGGTTAACGATGCATAATGATTGTATATTTCCATATATAGTATGGATTTTGTATGGAAATAGTATGGATGTACTATGGATTTAGTGGTGCAATTGCAAATTTCGTATAGTATGGATTTCACTTTTTTTTGCCAGTGTATAGTGTAAATGAAATCAGAAGAGTGACAATTTAATACTAAATTACTGCTAACAATATCTAATCCGAGACTTGCCAACATTCCCTAACTTCCAACTTATTCTTCATCACATTTACTTACTTTGATATACACGTGGTAGTGACTATAGTGAGCGGAAAATGTAATGCCACTGCTTAACCTTATTAACATTTAAAGCCAAATGCAGTAGAATTCAGAAAAATCCATTTTGGGGAGATTAATAGCACGAGAGTATAAATAAGACTATTATGAAGAATGACGATGTCTCTTAAATTTTAGTGTCATTTAATTACACATGAGAAACTGGCAATGACTCAAGCAACTCCACGACGTTCGCCCAAGGAATGGTTCAAGAAGTACTTTCTCGAAGGTTAGTGGCTTAAAATTGTTTCCAAAAACGAACTTTTTATTGGAGAGAATTATGGGGAGAAACTTCGACGTTTTGAGTAAAGGTCGTTCGGTAAAGGTCGTTCGTCAGAGGGTTTACTAATTATTGGATAGCTCAAGATCTATGATGTCAACGTCAGCTAGAACGTCAGCGCTAAGCAGAGGACTGGGACTAGGCCGTCATCCTAAATAAGTAAACATTCACACTTTTAATTAAACTAGAAATATTTACATCCTTTTGAAAATGAAGTTAAAGAGACGCGTGAATTCATTATCGTTTAATTGTTATGCTCTTGTATCCAAAAATTACGCTCTTGTTAAGTTGTCGACGAACGTCTTGGTGGACGACGAGCAATGGGCCATTGGACCTTACACAGGTTTCCGTCCCAGTTCCAGGAATTTCAGTTACAATACTGGACATTAAAATTGGCCATTTTATACCACCAAGCATTTATCCAAAAATCAAATACTAAAATAAAGGCGAGTTTGGGCCAAAATGTTTAGATTCTAGTTTAAGAAGTCCCGTCTTAACCTTAACCAAGAATTTTTAACTAAATTTTGTGTATAACACAGTTTCTGAAGGCGTTCGAAAATAATGCTGAAGTCAGCACTTTTATGTTCCAAGACGCTGTAACTCAGGAGTAATTAATCCTATTGATTTAAAATTTTTGGTGGACTCTCGTAATAATGATTTAAACAACATTATAAAACGTCCAGTATTGTAACTGAAATTCCTGGAAATTAGACGGAAACCTGCATAAAGTCCATTGAAATAGGCGCATGCACAATTCAGAAAATATTGCCAATTTACTTCCTCTTTCCGTCCTTAAGCTATCTATACTTCGCAGTCGATGTCGTAGATCTTAAGCTATCTAATAGCTACTAATGAAAACCTTCGTCCGACTAGTAATCGGCCACCAATCAATGCCCACTCCACCCTCCTTCAGAGCAAGAGATGCGAAGCAATGGTGGAGCGAGCCGCCAAGCAAATTGCCAGATTTTTTGTGCTCAGGATTTTCCAGGCCCTATAGAAATTATGACCTTCCCATGTATGAGCTAGCGAGGGCGTGTAGAGGAAGCAGATAACGAAATCCCAAACGAAGAGCCTTCCCTAGAAGTTTTAATCTCCATACAAAGGAAATTGTAATACACGAGTTCGAGTTAATCCCGAATTTGAGTTCGGCTCGAGTTGATGTCGAGTTTGAGTTTACTATAAATTTTAAAGTCTACTACATACTCGGATTGAACAGTATGTCAGTATCTCATACCGAAGTTCCTCGGCCCAATAAACAATATATTCAGCCTAATTCAGGGACGTCACTACAGTTGCTTTTCGGAAATTAATGAAAAAATTACGGAAAAGTTAACCAAAAAAAGGTGAATAACTAAAACGTACCTTAAACAGAAAGAAAATAAAAATATAATATCCGGAAAAATTTATTGTCTCTTTATCCAACCCCTCCCCCCCCCCCCGCCCCACCCCCGCCAACAATGTTGGGAAAAGAAATATTAATTAATGGTTGAGATAACTCGTCAAAATTTTACTTACATCCCCCATTGAGGTAGGGCTAGCGCCGCCCCTGAGTTGGTCAAAATGTTCGCCGAAACTTGGTCAAGACACCCCCCACCCCCGGCCCTCCCCCAAATGCCCATTGTTAATGACTTCGCGACGTCCCTGAATATATTGATTCAATACTGCATTTGTGAGCAAAACTCGCACATTAGCATGATGGATAAAATTGACTGTCTTTAAGGTCAAACATTGACTAGTAGTCAAACTAAAGCTCTTGAGAACTTGGATCAAAATGCTCCGTGGTATTCCAAGATAATCGTAAAGCACCGTCGTGTGGTCGGCATTTTGATTCCGTTCACCATCGTGCATTTCATCTGGTGGAGTTGTGCCATTCGATACAACTACTGGGAGCTATTCCCTGACAGATACTTCATAACAATCACAATGGTTTTTGGATCCTTAATTGCAGGTAACGATGGTAAACTGGAATTTTCGAACGCAAATTCATATACATTTTTTATATAAATTTTACATCTGACAAGGATCTCCTGGCCAACTGGCATGTAGGAATCTAGCCGGAAGCACTGCGATTCCCGTACAGCGCTCTAATGTACAGAGTCAAGTTGCTTAGCGCTAACCAGGGCCGCCGAGAAAATTCGCGGAGCCCGGGGTAAATCTTCTCTGAGAGCCCCACAATATCATTATTTTGAAGCTAGACCCAAGTCAGTCACCCAACTAGACCTTAGCTAGACTGCATGTAGAGCTACTGTAACGGGTCCCCGTTTTCAAAAATGCTCTGACAAATTTAAAGAACCTACTCAATGTTACGCTCTCTCTCTCTTTCTCAAATTGGGGCCCTATTAAGGTTGGGTCCCTTGGCAATTTGCTCCCTCCCCCTCCTGGCACTAACAGCAAAGTTTAAAAATGTAGACGTAATTTTATTGCGCTATGTAGGAATGACAAGTGAAGGAGGTAGCAGCGTTGCATTTCCAGTGATGACATTGGCTTTCCAGATCAGTCCCTCGATTGCACGAGATTTTTCGTTGATGATTCAGTCGGTTGGAATGACTGCGGCTGCATTTACAATATTCTGGATGAAAATTCAACTGGAATGGAGATCTGTGATATTCTGCACAACCGGTGGAGTTCTTGGGATGGTCATCGGACTAGAATTCATTGATCCAAACCTCACACCCCCACAGAAAAAAATGGGTTTCGTTAGTATTTGGTTCGCATTCGCGTTTGCTCTTTTCTTGCTGAACGTTTACCACAAACGAGTGACGTTCAAGATCATACCAGAGTTTACAACTTGGAAAGCGTGCACACTTCTTGTGACTGGAGTTTTTGGTGGTATATTCTCTGCAATATCTGGCAGCGGCCTTGATGTTTGCAGTTTTAGTATACTGACATTACTGTTTAGGTAGGTATGCGCAGGTAGAACGTTATTAGAGAACACTGATCATGACCATCTCAACTGTGCTACTTTCGACAAGGCGTATGAAAAAACTGCACAGTTCCTTTAACTGCAATTTCCACAAAATTTTGAAAACTTTATTCAAGCATGTGTAGTTTAGAGTCTGCTAACATGCTTGAAGTTCGAATTAACTCGTTTATGTCGAACATCAACCCATTTCCCGTGGATTTGCTTTTGGGCCTGAAAGGGCTTCGGTGAGATCGTGGGTTCGATTCTTGCTGCAAACTGATCAACCCATGAATGACAGTTATGTAAAAAGTGTTAGTAAACGTTATACTGATAGTTATCGGAATTTTTCAGGCATTCTGGTTTTCTTCCACAGGGAATGTTGACAGGGTGAGTCGGGACAAATCCCAAACTCTATCGCCCTCGGTAAGCCTTCGACTCGAACACGCTGAGCTGTGTCCTTCGCATTCCTAATTCAGCTTAACTCGCTTAGCTAAGTCAGGATGATTAACCCCCCCCCCACCCACCCCCACCCACCCCCACCCAGCCTATATATAATTAGCAATTGTACTTGTTTATTCCCCCAAATTAACATATTTTTACACGTATTAACATATTTTAACATATTTTTACACAACATATTTTTACATGTTTAGAGTTTCAGAGAAGACGGCCACGCCAACCTCAGTTGTGCTTATGGCAGTGAACACTGTGGTTGGTTTCTACTGGCGGCAAGTCATGATGCAAGCTATCCATATTGATTCCTACCAGTATCTCGCTGTCTGCGCTCCGATTGTCGTGCTGGGCGCCCCGCTGGGCTCAGTCATTGGCAGTCATTTCCATCGCCAAGTCCTCGCATCGTTCAACTATTTGACAGATACGGTGGCTCTAATCAGTGGATTTGTTATTGTCAAATTGGACGCCACCCTAGTTGGAGTTTCCATTGGGATCATCGCATTTGGTTTTGTCTTCTTTGGTCTACTTTGTTATTTTGGGCATCGACTCATGGGGAAAATTCTCAAGGATTGGGAAGATTTAGGAAATAATGAGCGTGTGACTGTTACAGATGGGTCTAGCACGAGATGCAAGAAGGATCTTAATGAATATGACGAGGAACATTCTCAAGGGATGAGCTACATTGTTGAAAACAGAGGTGTCATTGAAACTCACGAGGTAAACTCCAATCTCGAGAAAAGTGATTCTTGTTACACAACACATTTTTAAAATAGTCAAGAACAATGCAAGTATTTTTATATGTTAATTGTTTATATAATCGATATATCCTGCACCAAGAACTACCAAATACTGGGCTATCACTGTAATTAGGATAAGTTCTAAAACGTCCACTACAGCACTACTAAAAAAACTGAAAATTATATGTGAAAAGCTACTATGGCAAAAAATTCGCGCGTAGCACTTCAAATTGTCTGGTATTTTGATACAGTTCAAAAAACACATTCCAAAATTGCGCGCTATGAATTCAAATTGCGTTTTAAACCTTACATTTTTGTGCGCATGTCATCTTTAAAGTGGTTTTGGAAAACAGCCTTGCTGCACTCGAAAATTTACTTTCCAGAATAATTTGCTGATAGACATACCAGAAGACCCCAAACTACCCACACTAACATTACCACAAATTTTGCGGAATTTTGAGTTTAGTGGACATTTTAGAACAGTGCACTATTTTTTTATACACGTATAATGCTTATAACTACATCGAACTCTCTAATGAAAAATATTATCAAACATAAACATTTAATTGTGTATGACATCATCTTGGTCAACTTTTTCACTGTCAAAGTTACCGGATATGAAATAATTAGATGATTTGTAAATTAGTTTTTCTTTATTTGTTGCGTTAAAATTAATTAGAAATTCAATAATAATAATTAAGACAAAACGAGAAATTCAGAGGGAAAATTCTAACCAATAGAAAGAATGTAGCTACAGTACAGGTAACTGTACTATAGGTATAACCTCAAAAATGCAATTATAAGTGTATCCATCTTAATAGTGCGATAGTTTATAAAGGTATGTCTAACGAATGTTACATTGCAAATGCATTTTTAGCAAATCTAGGACACCTAATTTTTAAAATTTTCTGTAAGGATCCCCCTGATAGTGCCTTTTTTGGCATCTGTATTTTCCCATTTTTCCTTAGGTCCGACCCTGGATGCATGTTATCTGAATTAGTTTTATATTCCAAAAAGTATTATTAAAAGTATTATTACAAAGTTTCTCCATGCACTCCCCATAATTTATACATCTTGTTTGAAAGAATTAGAAAAGAATTAGCATGCAATGATATTCTATTCTGTATTCAGTATTCTTACGAGTATGAGCCGGGGAAGCTGAAAATTATTTCTACTTGACCACGGATGAAAATCGAACCCGCGACCTTCGCATTTCTAGAAGGCGAGACCTTGCCTAGCTACAAGGCCAAGTTGGGAACGATATTATTTATTTGTGATGTTAATTACAAATTATTTTGTTCTCTGAATTGTAATTTAAATGTTTTGAGTTTTCGACTCGGTACTTCGAGCCTTCATCAGAAAGTTGGAATCTTCTCGAAAGTTGGAAAATGTTCGCGAGTGTGTATTTCATAAATTCCACACCGCACGCAAGCAGTAAGATATTGCCTGCCGAGGGGTCACAAAACACACGTATTGAGTTATTCGTATTGAGTTATTGTCTCACTTAGACGAAGATTGACGAGTTGAGCTTATTTTAGATAATTTAACATTCAATTTTAATTCCCTCTTGTGAATTGTTTATGTTTCGTTTTCGATGCAATTCCCAACGGTGGAAGAATGTGATTTCGACCGGCAATTTTTATTTGACGAGTATGTGGCCATTTCTCATCGTTACGACTTAAAAAGAGTATCATTGAAAAGCTAAACTAGAAAATACATGCATGCAGAAACCTTCGCCTTGCTGACAAAACCATTGTATTTTCCGAACATGAAGTATCTAAAATTGTTGTCATGGTAACACGATAATTTTTGTATCTGCGAAGCAGATATATTGCCATCGTGCGCGTACCGGAAGTTTGTAAGCGTGCTCATAGCCAATCAACGACAGCGTATAGATGAAATGACGTAATGATACTAATTTCAAAATGGCGGTTTACTGAAGGGTGAAACAAAAGGCAATTTGTAAATTTACGATTCAAATTATACATCAAACGCAGTTTAAAACAACGTCATTTTACTAGTCTGAATATGGCAAATGTCGATAGTGAATTTTTGGCAAGCATTTAAAGGATTTCATCATTTAATACGCAGTGGAAACGAAATGATTCGCAATTTTTGACAAGAAAATCATTGACTAATGGCATTGAGAATACTATTATGAAACTATGAAAGTAATGATTCTTCCACATGTTGCCGTTGTAGGTGTATATCGAGTTGTAAGTGTTGATGTTTATGTACTTCTCAATTTAACATTTTCATTGGTGACTTTAGTTAATATAAATTAGTTGAATTAAACCAATAGAAGGCTATATAATTTCGTAAGGTTACATAATTTCTTTATCAATGATCATAACTATAGACAATTGGTGTCTGCTTTCATTACAGACTTTGATAGATCATTTTTGTACAAATTTAGCAGAGTCAGAAGGTAAGTCACATATATTTGGAAACATTTCTCTTAAATCACTTTATAGCAGTATGTGCATTGAATAATTGCTTTCATTAAAGAAAAGCCAAAGTAATAGTGGCTGCATAAAGAGCAGAGATTCAGTTTTAGATTGGAATATAAATACTTATAGTAACAGTTGCAACCAGTCATAACTATCAACTTGCAGCACATAACTATATATCCTGGAGGGGGTGCTCCCTTCTTCACCCACCCGGATTTCTGCAACTGAATGTCATTGCCAAGAACACCAGGCAAGCAATTTATATCCCCCTTCACCTATCCTATACTATATTGATAGTCTTATAATTAACAACAACCATATGACCATATGTCATAATGGGATCTTATTTATAGCATAATATTCTGTTTAGTGGATTTTCTTCCACGACAAAATATTATTGCATGGATCTGGTATGCTGAATTATATCATTCTATTCAAGAACTATATGCATCGATTATACATACTTCTAATTTCCATACTTGTCATCATTTGTTGCTGATGAATGACTTTCAATATATGACCTATTTGATATATTTACTAAGCATATTATTATTATTATTATTATTATTTAAATTTATATTGCGCGAGGTTCCATAGGGAGATGCTCACCTGCGCATTACATAATTGATAAAACA